CTTGGCCGGCAGCCCCAGCCAGCCTCAACCTGACCCCCAGCTCCTCGGGGGCAACCAGGAGCCCCGCAGGTCCCGCCCGGGCCGCCAGCAGCACCCGCATTCCTGCCAACAACCCGCTGGTGGCTCAGCTGCTGCAGGGCAAGGAGGTCCCCCTGGAGCAGATCCTGCCCAAGCCCCTCGTGCTCCGTGTGGAGATGAAGACGGTCGCGCTCCCCGTGGCGAAGGCAGGCCAGGAGCCACCTGCCACCCCTCGGCTTCTCCCTCCCAGGGACGCTGCAGAAGGACGGCCGCCCCTCCTCTCTTTCCCCTCGGGAGGGAGGGCCCTGGGCTCCCCCCCGGGGGGCAGGCCTGCTCCCGGTTCAGCCTTCTCTCAGCCCGACCAGCTGGGGGCCACTTCTGCTGGCCTGGGCTCCTGCCAGGAAGCTTCAGGGCCAGCAGCCCAGGAGCCGCTCTGCCAAGGCCTGACGCAGAGGGGCACCCCACGGGCTCTGCCGGCTGGCCCTCCCCCGCCTCCCCACCTGCCCGCAAGCCGGAGCTTCGTGCTGGGATTTGCCGGCAGAAGGACCTCCAGACCGGCCATGTCCGGACACTACCTTCTGAACATTTCCACCTACGGGCGCTGCCCGGAAAACCTTCGGAGGAGTCTGGCCGTGCCTCCCCCAGAGAGCTGCCTGGGCCCGGAGGAAGAGGAGGAGGAGGAGGAGGAGGAAGAGCCAGATGCCGGAGGCAGCAGCGCTGGCGTCAGTGACAAGGAAGAGGGAGGAGAGGCGGTGCCCTGCGATGCCGAGCACCATGTAGCCCATGTGGTGGTACAGGAGGAGATCCCAGCTCACCAGCAAGGAGAAGCCGGAGACCAAGGGATCCCCAGAACCGGCGCAGAGAAAGGAGAGCAGGGGACCGGAGGCCGGAAGGAGGGGGGCCGCCTCCTGTTCTCAGCTGGCCAAGGCGACACGGCCGAAAGAAGCACCGTGGCCAGGGACTTCCTCCAGACCACCCAGACTGTGACGGGGGAGCGGAGGCCTCGCCGCACGGAGCTTGGCGCCAGTGCCCCGGTGGACGTGACCTCGCCCCGGCCCCAACTGTTCTCCCCCTCTCCCCCTCCCCGGTTCTTTGGGGGCCCTGGGGCTGCCCCCCAGCTGGTCAGGACCGGCTACAGCGGCACCATCAATGTCTCCACTTCTCCGGACCTCCACCAGGAGGCGCTGCTGTCAGGGCTCTCGGACCCCAGCGGCATGGGGGACGTGGTGTCCTTCTCCGTGACGGTCACCACCATCCCCAGAGGGCAGGCGAGGAGCGCCAGCGGCGGCCCCGGGCAGCCCCTCCTCCACAGCCAGGCCTTTTCGGAAGACGGGGGCCTGGAGGACCTGCCCTCCAAGTGCTACTGCCGCCTGAAAGCCATGATTGTCTGCAAGGGCTGCGGCGCCTTCTGCCACGACGACTGCATCGGCCCCTCCAAGCTCTGCGTGGCCTGCCTGGTGGTGCGGTAGCGGTGCTTTCGATGGGAGGAGAGAGAGGAGCGTGCCACCCGTGGGGCATGGCAATGCCATAGGGCCGTCAGGCACCACCAGGGAGGCCCCCCTCCCTGCTGCCCACCCCTCCCCCTTGTGGCTTCGAGAGCGAAGAAAGCAACTTCCGCAGTCAGCTGGGTCCTCGGGACGAGTGTTTGCACTTACAAAATCATGTAAATACGTTGCATTGTTTTGTCTTAAAAATTATTTCTCCGAATCTCTTGAGATTTAATCTCTTGATTTGAGCTCCCTGTTGGTTGGGCCTTGCGGCCCTTGCTCAGAAGAGCCCTGCGGTTCCCAGCAGGGAGGCCTCCCGGTCTTTCTCTGGCTTGGGTGGGCCGCTGCGGGTTCCCAGGGGTAGCCTCCTCTGTTTCCTTCCATGTGAACGAAGGCGTGCATGCCCACGCACGGTGTGTCCGCTCAGGCGGGATATCCTCTGTGGGTTCTCTCCATTGCCCTTCGGAGAAGGCAGGGGGACTCCATGCTCTCTGGATCACTAGGAAGCAGCGCAGGGCAGCTCAGAACTCTGGAAAGCTCCCCAAGGAGAGCCGGAGGGCTGCCTGCCCCCTGCCAGGGGCCGAAGCCGTGGGCTGGAGGTGATCCATCTTCCCCTCCCCAGTCTCTGGGAGCCAGCCCCTTTGCCCTGGAGCGCTTTCCATGCTCAGCTCCATCCTCCCGTCCTTCCTTGGAGAAAACGGTCCCTTCCAGAGCAGTCTGGCCATCACTTGGAGAACATTGCTGGGTCCTGAGCATCCAGAGGGAGCCTCTTTCTCCCCCCACCTGGCCCCCTTCCTGCCACTCCCGCCGAGGGGTGCCATAGCTGCACAGGCCCCCCCCCACCTAGTTCCGCACTAGCTGGTAGGTAAGGAAGCTGTCGCTCAGCAGGAAGGAAAACACGCTCAGGAAAGTTCAGGACAACCGGACCGGACCGAACCTGAAGGTTGGGAAGGAGGGGTGTTCAGGGAGATTGGCTGGAGGGAGAGGCATCACCTGCTCCCGCCCCGTTTTGCCTGCCTTTTCGCCGCGTCCAGCAGGAGCCGAAGGCCCTGACTGGGCCGAGGGGCTGTCTTGGCGGTCCCTCCAGGAGACTTGTCGTAAAGGGGGGGGGGAGACGTGTAAGTGAGGAGAGGAGGAGGGCCAAGGCTTCACCAGAGGTGCAGAGGCTCCTCTGGGCCAACATCTACACTAGGGGTAGCCACTCCAGGCTGGAGGAACCTGGAGGGTTGCCCTAGGGCCTGGCCCTCCCCCAACCCTCCCCCCCCCAAATTATTTTCAGAATTTCTTTATTAGTCCTGAGAGGCTGCCGGAAGGAATTTCTCCACCGGGCAGAGCTTATCCCTCTGAGCTGCTGGAGGAAGAGACTTTGGGTTTCGAAAGAAGTGTTGCCCCCTGTGGAAACGTCAGGGGGTGGGGGAGGGCAACATGTGGTGTTTGCCCCAGCGCCCCTGGGGGGCAGGTGGGGGGCTGCCTCTTCCTCTGAGCTGCCCTTGGCTTGCTCTGGGTTTTCCTTTGGCTGCCGGAAGACCAGGTGGCCGGGGGGGGGGGGGGCAAGGCAGGGTCGGGTCTGAAGCCTGAGCCGGGGCCCCTCTGTGGCTTTGCCGGGGCCTTCAGTGTCCTGCCGCAGAGGCTCCAGGCTTGGGGGGGGGTTGAGGGTCCCACCCCCTCTCCTCCTCTTTGCACGACTGTCTCAAACGCCATTGAGTGAAGGCGAAGCTTGAGCGCTGTCCGTGGCCTCTCACTCCTCATAGACCCTCAGCAGAAGCTTTGCCTTTTTCACAGCAGTCCCATGCAGGACTGACATTTCCACTGAGTGGCAGGTCCCTCCTCTACAATCTCTGTCTTAGCTAATCTCATGTCAGTTGTGAGCCTGTCAGCATCCGTGAGAAGCTGGGGGTGTTTTCAAGACCCTTTTTGCCAATCTGTCTCCAGTCTTTTTGGGTTTTCCACCATTCTGAATCATCGTCTTCTGCAAACAGGACCTCTTCCCTGCTCAGCCATAACTCATAGAGCACAATTCCTGTTCGCTTCATGAACAGATTAAAAGCATTTGTTCCAATACGGATAATTGGGGGCACCCCGTTCTGTCTTCATGGCGAGAACGCTATCCCTGGATAACTGCTCTCTAGTGCATGTTCTTTAACTAGTTGCTTCTCCATAAGAAGATCTCTTATCCCAGAAGAATCAACATCGTCTCAGGAATCTTTTGGTGAGGAATTATATCAAAGGTCCATCTGTTCCCAAGTGAAAAATGGCAGCCGGATTCACTCCTATCTATGCATTTGTTGACACAGCCCAAGAACGTCCCCAGTAGATGCTGTAGTTTAATCCCACTGGGAAGGTCTTGCTGATTGCATTAAGGTCCTAAGTTTAAATTCCTTTACCTTGAAAAAAAGGATTTTATATTGGCTGGCTTTTTTCCTCCCACATTACCAAGGAGGCCAATGCTACTGCTTTGTCACAAAAGTTGTTTCTCACAAAGAGGGCCATTGTAGGTCTCCTGTGCCAGATGATCTTTCGGGCATAGTCCACGTACACGCAAGTGCAAAGTCACTTGTTACTGCTCCTTGTTTAGGTTCATTTGAGCTCTCTAGCTTCCCTTTGGGTACCACTCATAGAATCATCCTAGACAAATCAGGGTAGCAACAGCTTTTTCATGGATCACCAGAAAACGTTGCATTTGATTCAGTTGCCCTGCGGCAGTTTTGGTCGGAGCTTTGAAAAAGCGCAAGCTTTTCTGTGGCTGCCAACCTTCATCAGACCAAGAGGTAAAATCCCAAAAGGTTGAACTCTGCAGTGAGAGATTTTTGGGAGGTTATGTGTCTTATTGCTTCTGACAGAGGTGTGAATCACATGGGAGAAAGAAAGGGTCAAAGCAGGAGCCTGAGCACCACCGGCACTCCAGAGGCAGGAATTCCCAACTAGACTCTTGTTCCTCTCCCACCCCACCCCCACAGGAGGGTCAAAATCCCCCCCCCGTTTATTTTTCCTTCCTCATAATGCAGACTAATAGGGAAGAACACAGTGTTCCTCTTTTTTTCTCTGTCCTCTATTCAGCACTGGTTAGTCCTCCTCGAGTCTTGTGTCCAGTTCTCGACACCAGACTTTAAGAAGGATGCCAACAACCTGGAGCAAGTTCAGAGGAGGGTGACGAGGATCAGGGGGCTGGAAACCAAGTCCTTGGAGAAAAGATGGAAAGAACTCGGCCTGTTTAGCCTTGAGAAAATAAGCCTTGAGGGGAGAGTCGCTCCTCTTCTTCCAGGGGCACTTTGTTCTCTAGGACGCCTGGACTTGGGGTTTCTTGGCATGGCTAATCACTCCTCTTCTTCCAAGGGCACTTTGTTCTAGTCTAGGACACCTGGACTTGGGGTTTCTTGGCATGGCTAAAGGCTTCTTGAGGATGTCAAGGCTGTAGGTGAACTATGGAGATGCCATTCTCACGACTGTTGTACGTTGGTGTTGACCGGAGGCCTCCTTAGGACTTTGGAAGGGCACACGGCTCGTGTCGTTCCAGAATGGCGGCAGGCAGGTGGGGCGTCAGTGGGGCCAGGCGGTGGCTGACCTCCCATCCGCTCTGCCCTCCACTTGGAGAGGCCAGAGGTGCTTCGGGAAGGGGCAGGAGGCAAGTGCCAGAGGGCGAGGTCAGCGGCCTCTTCCCAGGACACTGTCCACCTTGACTTCTCAAAATAGCTTTTCAGAAGCCTCCTTGGATGGGGACCTCTTCTGCTGGCTCACTTCTCTCTCAGTTGAAGGAGAGGTGGTGATCGGTCCCACGGCTGAAAAGAACAGAAAACAAACAAACAAACAAATGTTTTGGCAAATCTTGCAACCCGCAGAGCAGAGGAACCGCTTAGGGGTCCAGAGCCCTGTCCTCCCATTGCCCTTGGCGGGGCAGTTCAAGGCAAGAAATATCCCTGTCTTGAGGAGGGACAATCCTGTCGTGCCTGCCACCTTTCTGGGTGCAAAAGGAGCTGTACCGTGCACTGCCACCATTGCCGCCCTTTGGCCCAGCATGGCCCAGGCAGCTTCCTCCTTGTAAGGATTGAGGCACCTGGCCTGACCTTTGTCAGGGGTGGGGACGGCAGGGTGACACGCCCAGGGACCGGGCTGAAGCCACGGGTCTCTCTAGTTTGGTCGGGCTCCACACCCGACCCTGATGGAGGGGAGAGACTCTGGAGAGAAAAACCAGGAGCTCACCGGTGGAGTGGATCCCTCCACTGGGTTCCGTCTTATCTGCCTGCCTCCCTCCCTCCTTCCCTCCCTCCCTCCCTCTCAGGCTTCCATCACGGCTTCCCAAAGCTTTGGCGGCCTCTCCTTGCCCTGCCTTGTTCCACCCCGTCCCCTCTGTTAGCTGGCCTTCAGCCCCTCTGGGGATCCTGTCCAAGCGTTATTGCGATGCCAGGAGAGGCTGCTGGGGGGAATCCAGGTTGAAAGCCAATGAGAATCTCTTGGTATGCTTTTGCGGGAGGTCCTCAGGCGAGGGGTGGGTGTCGGCAACAGTGTCGTCCGGTATGGTGGATGCCGGGCTGAGCAGGGAGACCCACACAGCCTGAGGGGAGCAGGGTCTTCCTCCCAGCCCTTGGTGCTCAAGGCACTTGGAAGCCCGGCCGGCGAGGGCCTCTCAGGGCGGCTAGTCAAATTGCACTAAGGATGGCTGTGACTCAGGGTCAGCCTGGCCACTTGCGTCCCGGGAGTTGCTCTCGAGTAGATGCTGAGCCCCCTCGGGACCGGGCAGGGCCACTCTCAGCTTTTCAGCCTGGGGTTGGGTCCGGGGTCTTTCACATTCAACACCGTTTTTTTTTCCCTGTTGGGGAAGCCTGTCTGTATGCACAGCAGTAGGAGGGTCTTTCAACTCCCGGCTCCCAATGTCTGCTTACCTATCTATCTATTTATTTATTTATTTGTAGAAGTACCTACGTCTCTGCCTTCTGGTGCTTATATGCCATTCTGTGTGGCTAATGGCAAAGGAAACCAGACACAAAGCATTAATGCAACAAAATCAGACTCCTTGTGTCAGGAGTTCCGCGTGTGCACGACACTCTTTGCTCTTTAAGAAAGCTTAGGGCCCTCTTTTGTGGCTGGCCTCCTTGACGGTGGTCCGTCCCAGAAAACGGTCTTCTCCATCCCAAGTGTCCGTTTTGTTCCTGACGCTCCATCATAGTGGTGGTGCCTCGATCATGGAGGCATCCAGGCCTGTAACTTTTAAAAAAGCCATTGGGA